GTATAGCAAACCCCCAGAATAATAACAACTACTACAAAGGCTAGTGAGGCCATGGATCTTGAGTTCTTGACCTAGCCTGAGCTACATAGTTCAAAGGGTGGCAGAAGGAAAACATAAAGAAAAAGAATAGTAAATGTACAGCCAAATTAAAAATGTAACAATGGTATATAAATCAGTGAGGTGGGCCCTGGTAGGGTGACTATGTCCAGTGGACAGTCTCACATTCATTAGCAAATGGGCAGTATAAATTTGACTTGATAGGTTATTAAAATACAAAAGGACTCAGAAGACAAGTAATGGGGTACATGACTGGGAAGTCATCTAGGCCAGCATGGTTGCGTTAGAATCGATGACTGTCTGCCTAATTATAGTACTTGCAACTTGTTAATAAATATAAGGTCCCTGTGACATTTACTTGGGAACAAGGGGAGACATAGAAATACTTTTACAGTTAACCAACAAAACAAACAAGCAAACAACAACTACAAAGCCCCAAAACAAACAAACAAAAACAAAGAATAAAATTCAGATCAGCAGAACTATATGCGTCCACTTTGTAGCTTTGACTCTGATAAGGGGCATTACCGTGAATATCCTTGTCCGTTTATTTTGGAGAAGGTAAGTGTGATGTAGTTAGAGGTGGAATTTCTGGACTGAGGAGGTAGAGGGCACAGAGAGCAGACATGTTCTACCATCCTGAGTATGGCAAGCAGCTCTCCAGTACTATGTAACAATTTAAATAGCACCGATGTTTGAGAGATCTGTTGCTCCTCACTCTGTAACTTCAACAACACCGGTTGCCTTTTTAGGAGCTGTTCTGGGGCTACCTAGTGGGATCTCCCCCTGTGTAATTTTGTACTTTCTTTATGACTACTTGTGCCTATTAGATTTTGTCAACTTCACACAATCTAAAGTCCTCTGGTAAGAGGGGACCTGAGTTGAGAGAACGCCTCCATCATATTGGCCTGTGGACATGTCTGTGGAGGCATTTTCTTGGCTAATGATTGTGAGGCAGAGTTCAGATCATTGTAGGCAGTGCCACTCACTGCGTAGATGGGCCCAGGCTCTGTCAAAAGTGGGCTGAGCAATCCAGAGGAAATAAGTCAGTAAACAATGTCCTTCCATGGTTCCTGTTCTGACTTCTTTTAATGACAGACCATGTTTGGATGTGTAAGCTAAACAAACCATTTTGTAGTGGTTTGAATGAGAGTAGTCCCCATAGGATCATATGTTTGAATACTTGGTTGTCTTTTGGTGGAACTATTTGGGAAGGATTTAGAGGTGTGGGCTTATTGAAGGAGGTGTATATCAATGGGGGTGCGTTTTGAGAGCTCTCTCTCTCTCTCTCTCTCTCTCTCTCTCTCTCTCTCTCTCTCTC